AGGTAATTTTTAGAGTTGTTCCTTAATGATTATGAATATTGTTAGTCTTAAATTTGGAGCATATTTTGTTCACTTTTTCTTTTCTTCATGAAACTTTTATCTTCTTTTTTATTTTTTGTGAACATAAAGAAACCATGTTTTAAAAGTGCTAATATTCAGAGAAGCATATAAAGAAAAAATAAACCAGAAGTTCCCCCTCCTCTTTTGAAAATAGTCCACTAACCCTAATTACTTTAAGAGTATAATTCTTTCTCTGGCTTTTTTAAGCACTATACAGACAGGTGTAAACACTCAGTAAGGTGATTTTAAAAAATAGTTATCTCCAGAATCTTAACTTAAATACCTACCATCACCATTTTCTTCTACTACACATTTTCAAAAACATTATAATGATTTATCATGTGATTTTCTTTTGATACGGTATGCTTTAACTGCCATATTTCACAATAATATTATGCTTCAATGCACATTTCTGTACCTTTTCAAACTGAGAAACCTCAGATCTCAGAACTCTTTTCTTCTGTTATTTTCTCTGTTAATTTTGGGAAATGAAAATGCTTTCCTGTCCAAAGATCAGAATTTTTACTATTTGATTTATTTTCTTTCCTTCATTATGTTTATTTTCTTTCCTTCATTATATTATTTTTAACTTAGATCTCTTAATCTGCCTGCACTAAATTGTCACATATTTTTAAATTTTCTACACCTATTTGTCACATATTTATGCCCTAGCCATATGTAGTATAGGTTATTTGCTCAATATTTTTCTTTTTCTTTTCTTTTTGTTTTTTTTTTTTTTTGGTCCGGTCATGGGGCCTGAACTCTGGGCCTGGATGCTGTCCCTCAGCTCTTCAGCTCAAGGATAGCACTCTACCACTTAAGCCACAGTGCCACTTCCGGTTTTTTTCTTTTTTGCTTATGTGGTGCTGAGGAATCGAACCCAGGGCCTCAGGCATGCAAGGCAAGTGCTCTACCACTGAGCCCCCTTCCCAGCCCTCGCTCAATATTTTTCAAATGTGTATTTCTGTTTTTATAGGATACATTTCTTTTGTCTCATAATCTTAACTCTCCACAGAGCTTAAGAAAGTCCTGACACAATTACCAGACCCAGAAACACTGAAAAAAAAAAATTCCAGAGTTTGGATTATCAGCAGGAAGTCATTCTAGGCAGCAAGGAAGAGTACAGAAAAACAAAACAATCAGAAAATCCACGTTCCTACTTTTGGTGGTTCTATTATGCTGACCTTAAAAAGTTCTCAAGACAGCTTTAGGTGGCAGAGCACAATAAGTGGTCACTTACTCTCTGCCTGGAAGGGACAGTGCTGGTCTCATCCACCTGCCACAGACAACCTCTATATTCTGTGATTGGTCACCAGGTTCTGGTCATTGGTCACCAGCAGAACAAGAAGGAGGCAGAACCCAAACTCACTCATTCCCTCCCATAGAGAAAGGACTTGAGGACATGCGGGACAAGCCTATAGGTTGACAGGGCATTCATGGAAGAGCCTTTGGAAGGAAAGCTGGCACAGACATCAGTGTTCACATGGCTGCTTCTCATTCATGATAAATATTGGGTTTTACATTCTATTTGTGTGTGTTGGTAGTGGGGTTTGAATTGAGGCCTCATGCTCTTGCTTCACTTTTTTTTGCTGAAAACTAGTACTCTACCATTTGATCCACACCTCCACTTCTAGCTTTTTGCTGGTTAACTGGAGATAAAGAGTCCCACAGATTTTTCTGCTCAGGCTGCTTTCAAATGGTGATCCTCAGATCTCAGTCTCCTGAGTAGCTAGGACTACAGGAGTGAGCCACCTGGCTCCTGGCTGGATTATACATTCAAAAAAGGCACACTTATGGGTTTTCTCTGACCACAGCCCTCCTTGATGCTATTGCTGTGGCTTCCTAGCTGGATCAAGTGTCTTGCCTGTTCTGAGACAATTCTTCAACTTGCAAATGGAGATAGTATAGACAAACTCTTGGGGTTATTCTGAGGATTCAGTAAGATGCTTAGAATAGTGGCTGCTCTAGGAAATTCCTTTAGAGTGATCACTATTTTTGCTATCACAGCTACTCTACTGCTTTTCCACCATCTCCTCCAGACAAGCTAGGTCAAAATTAAATTGGGTTCCTCAGAATGACACAAGGAACTGGGAAGTGCAGAGTGGTCCATTGAACTCCAAGAAAATGATTCATTCCTCAGCATTTGTAATCCTTCTGGAAAATGGAAAGTTAGCCATCATCACTATGAGAACAGTGGATTTTAGGGATGGATGGCATTGCACTCCCCTCTCCCACCCTACTTTCTGATATGCAAGCATAAGATCCTTGCACCCTGCAGATATGTAGGTCAAGTGAAAGGCTTAAAGACAAGAACAACAGGGTTAGAAGGGAAAAAGGCAGAACTGAGCCTGATAGTCACTGAATAAATCTGTAAGTACATAAACGGAAGGTCAAGGGCCTTCGCCTTCTAAAGGGTGTACTACAACATTCAGGATTATACAAATGGGATTGACTTGAGGTGTGAACGGAACCAGGTGATCAGAGGAAACTCTCTCAAGGTTTAGCAGTCAGAAAATCCACTTCTAATATCATAGCTCACTTCTTTATTGGTGGCCTATCTTCTACCACCATCCAATTTTTTCCCAGTGTTTCAGGAGTGACAATTGGCCTAAGGCTTTGTCTCCACCTTTGAAAGTCATAACCATTTGGAAAGAAAATTGTCACCCAGGTCTCTGGGACATCAGCTAGGTTCATAAATCATCCAAGATGCACGAGATAGCTGGAGTATCTTGAATGTCGACAGAAGGCATGCTGGATAAAAATTAATCAGAGCCAAGCTCAACTTGAACTTCGATGGTATAGACAGAGCAAAAGGCTGGTCTTTGCTTGAATTGAGCCAGAAGCAGAGATGTAAAGGTGACAACCAGGCGAGCAAGTACAGTGCATGCTCCAAACTGAACATTGAGAACAATCTAGATTCCTTTAGACATGTTAGCAAGATTTACAGACCTCTAAGACCCTCCACTTAGTCTTTTCCCCCCTCCTCATGTTGAGAAAAAACTGATTTTCATGTGCATATTCTGTGGAAAAACCCCTACATTCCAAATTTTAGGTACTTTCCTCTTTATTCTATTCTTCGTCACATTGTTGTTTGCTTCGTTACTAATTCTCTGAAGCACTTGGAAACAGGGAAACAGATCTCTGTACACAAGTGAGTTTATTTGAACCTTTTAATATTTTTTTCCATAGGATGAACAAGCAATTTTTCTTTAAAATCATCAGATTGGGGTTGGGAAGATGTCTCAGGGGTAGTGCTTGCTTTGCATACATGAGGCCCTGGGTTCAATTCCTCAGCACCACATAAGCAGAAAAAGCCGGAAGTGGCACTGTGGCTCAAATGGTAGAAAAAAAAATCATCAGATCAGCAAATTGCCAGTGCCTCACATCTGTAATCCTAGCTATTCAGGAGGATGAAATCTAAGGATTTCAAAGTTCAAAGCCAGCCAAGGCAGGAAATCTATTAGACACTCTTTGCTCAACTGATCAGCAAAAAGCCAGAAGTGGAAGTGTGGCTTAAATGATAGAGTAGCAGCCTTGAGCATAAACATCCAAGGACATTGCCCTGACTTGAGTTCAAGCCAGTAAATACACACCAAAAATCATCAGGCAGCTATAACCAGGATAACAAAGGTTCTCCTTAATAAAGATTTAAAGTAGTAGCACTTTGTAATCACTAATCACATAATAGCAGAGATACATGTGGTAACTATATATGCATTATATATTTAAAGCCCAGCAAAGTCAGAACAACCATTGTAAACTCTTTTGAGAAAACTAAAATCATGTAGCAGTTACAGAAAATATATGCAGAGGTAGGGGACAATGATACATCTGAGCAATTGTATTTTAAAGGTCTAAAGTACAACTTTTTGGTCCTGATGGGGATGGTAGCCAGAACTTTACAACTTCACCTTCAGTACAGAATGGAAATGGGATCCTTAAGCTTTAGCACCTTGGTGTGGTTTCTGTTTGTTTTGTTCTTTCTTGATTTCATGTTTATTTCAGTCTTCTGTCACTCCATTTTTTTTAAACCCAAGGCGAACATGAAGGGACCATCCTTTTCATATGTACTGTTTTTCTCAGTGGTGAGTACAAAAGCACATTGCCATATATTAAATTACTGGTACCCTCCCTGAAGTAAAGCTGTATTTTATAAAGCATTACAAATGTTGGTACACGGTCAAATTGACCATTCTTATTGAACAATCTCATGGCAGATTTCACTGGTGACAAATTAACAATGGCAAAATTGTTCTCTAGATCTTAATTTAAAGAAATCAAGGAAGGGAGCTTCCCTGAACATAATTTTATTGGCTTCATTTCTTTATTACTATTAATGATGTTTTCACTTTTTACAAGTCATGCTGCACTTTGACGGCTGTTATTTCCTCTTCGGGCAACCTTGTATTATAAGGAATCCCTCCTGGATAGAAACTGACAGGCTGAGAAAGGAATTCCATTCTGAACCCACCTGCCCTCCCCTCCCAATTGCTTACACTGCGGATATTTTAGGAGACATTCTGGAAAAGTGCCAGACTTTTCAAAAGCAAACGTTTAAGTGATATCCTGACAGAACTCTCAGGGGTAGGCCCAAGGGAAAACCGTGCATCAGACAGGCTGTGGTGTGGGATCCAATCAAACCATCCGTGTAGAAAATCATAGTCACCCCTAGAAAACCTAATGGGAGCAAGCATAGCGAGGAATTCCCAAAAAGGAACTGAAAATGTTTACCAGCAAATACAAACGCTCTAGATAAACATCCAACCCTTGTATGATAGTACCTCTTGGCCTCCTCTTGCAGGAAATATTGTCAAACAACGTCACAAGGAGAAACACACCCCATCCCCCACAGGATCAACAACTCACATTACACACCCTCACCTCAGTACAGGAGAAAAATCTGACTGAAGCAACAGAAAGTTCAAAAGGTTACTACTAACCTGGTGCCCCTGGAAAAGAAGTCGCTCCATATTATTCTAAAGAAAGAATCCTTCCTATGAAACTAATCCTCAGGTCAGCTGACAGCCGAGGAAGAGAGGGGGAACAAAATTGATTACTCTGTGAATTCACATAAACAGGGAACCCACAGTCCTGTTCCCAAGCTCAGCTTTGGCCACCTCCCTAAAGGCAACTTAAGTTGGACACACCCACCAAGCACTGTAGCCAATCAGCTTCAGGAATGAACTTGAAATCACGCCCCGAAGGTTAAATGGACGCTGGGAGGCATTGCAAAAGAAAATGCATACACAGAATGAGCTAAGTCTTCAAGCTTGCTTTCTGTACTCGCTACCCCAGAACACCAAAACATAACTTAAACAAAGAGACTCTCACTCCCTTTTCTCCCCTCAAACACTGTATTAAAGTGGCCAATTCATCTTGAACAAGGGGAATACAGTCTGCCTTCTCTGAGGGCCGTGAAATCACTTCTTCATTGTTGGCCCAAGTTGCATGGGGGTCATGAAATCTACAGTGCTATAATTTTGCATTGCCTAAGATGGACATAGGACATTATTGTGTCTGGGAAGCGAACTTACATGCTGTCACTGGTATCAGATTTTTGCATAATAGCAAATAAACCTTAACCTCCCTAATTATTAAAGTTCAAAATTAATATATGTTCAACTTGGCACTCACGAGATTAGAGGATTTGCGGATCTCACTTTGAAGTCAATCCTGGCAGCCAAGTCCTGAGATTTATCTCTAACAAACCAACAGAAAGGTAGATTTGGATTTGTGATTCAAGTGGTAGAATGCCAGGCTTGAGTAAAAAAGCTAAGGGACATTGCCTAAGTCCTGAGTTCAAGTCCTAGTACTGGCACACACAGGGGAAAAAATAATATTTGTTCATGAAAACTGGTCAAAGAACCTTCTAACTTCTGAGCCTGACTTGGTTGCTTGTGAATCTTAAAAGTCGCTCTTATAATTCAGCTTCACCAACTAGATTTGTAAGACACAAAGATGTTTTAAAATGAATTGTCTATTGCTACTTAAAATGGAGGTTAAATATTATACACCAAGGTTTCAAAGTAAGGAATTTTAATTTATATTTCAGTTTAGAAAAATGTAATTAAGGTAGATTAAGTCCTAAAACACAATCATAAGGCTCCAACACATTGCTGGAGAACTCATGTTCTAAGCAGAGCACCAGTGTAACTACTCAGGAGGCTGAGATCTGAGGATTGTGGTTTGAAGTCAGACCAGGCAGGAAAGTCCATGAGACACTCATCTGCAATGAACTACTCAGAAAATGCTGGAATTGGCATTGTGGTTCAAGTGCTGCTAGCCTTGAGCAAAAAGCTCAGGGACAAAGCCCAGGCCCAGAGTTCGAGTCCCAGAACTGGAAAAAAGAACAAGAAAAGAAGAAGAAGGGGAAGGAGGAGAAGAGGAAGAAGAAGGAGAACAAAAAGAAGGAGAAGAACGAGAAAGAGGAGGTGGAGGAGGAGGAGGAGGAGGAAGAAGAAAGAGAAGAAGAAGAACAAGAAGAAGAAGAAGAAGAAGAAGAAGAAAAAGAAGAAGAAAAAGAAGAACTGATATTCCACTTTTACCTCAATATATTCCCAGTGCAATCTTCCTCTAGTTTTTAACTCCAAGAATAGCTTTAATTCTATTAAACTATTATTTCCATTCTATCTAAACGAAGTCCCATTTTATTTAAAACAGATCTAGGTTAACATAGTGACCAAGGTTTCTGAACTCTATTGTTTGTTGTAAACCACAAGACTATAAGGCTAAATAGACTGGGAGAACTTGGATTTCTGGTTGTCAAATAGACCTGCACACCCTTGTGGTAAAAATCACGTTACTCAAAACCTAAGCCTTGGTGTGTTAGCTTGAAAATCTCAGAGACAACTTTAAATCCAACACCCACCATGCTCAACTCCATTAGCTACCTCCAGATCAGGGTCAGCAGGTTCTCCTGGGGTCTCTTTTCAACACGTGGAGGGGGGAGGGGAGTAGATAATAGCAGTAGTGAAAGAAGGAAATGGTCCCTAGGCAAGTGTCTGACTTAAAAAGGAGCCAGTACCCCACCTACTGGCTGAACCAAGAGAAAACTAGCATGATGGACGAAAGCTCAAATGAATACCATTACTTTGATATAATAGAAGAAAAAAATGAAAAAAATCAGTTAATATCAAATGCAATATATGGCTAAGATGTATTTTAAAAATTCTCCCCTTCTTAATAAAAAAAAGAACTAGCAAAAAAATTCTCCCCTTACAAGAGTAGAATATTTCTAGATGATATGAAAACGTTTGTGCAAAAAAGAGTTATTGTATTCAAACCACCTCTTTTATGCACATCAGATTCGAAAGTAACATGATGAGTTGATTCTTAAATAAGTTCCATGGTAAATAATATTGAACTTTCACCCATCCAGACAACTACAAGGTCCAGCCCTGTGCCCTGAGCATAGTCTGGAATATAAGAAGTACAGAAAAGTCCTCAAGTCAAATAGATAAACTAGCAATACTTCTGTGTCTCCAACATTCTGGTCAAAGTCTCTATCCCTGGGATTTCTTTTACCTTTCTGTCAAAACTTACTTCCTTTTAAAGCCAGGCTCTGGTAGCTTAAGCCTGTAATCCTAGCTACTCAAGAAACTGAGATCTGAGGACCGCAGATCAAAGCTAACCCAGGCAGGAAAGTCTATGAATCTTTAATTAACTACCAATCGATATCCAATTAATCACCAATTAATCTTCAATTAACCACACAAAAGCTGGAAGTGGACGTTTGGCTCAAATGACAGAGTAACAGCCTTGAACCATATAATTAAGGGACAGGGCCCAAATCTTGAGCTCAAGACCTGGTACTAGCATACACACAAATTATTTCCTTTTATCTCATTATAAACAAATGCTGCTAAAAAATCAACATCTAATATCAATATCTCTGAAAATGAAAAATAGTTAAATATTGGGTCCCAAATTACAGTACAATCTTTATAATAAAACTCTAAGGAAAAGATCAAAGAGCAATGGAATGAGACTTTGTGTATGTGTGTATGTGTGTGTGTGAGAGAGAGAGACAGACAGACAGAGAGAGAGAGAGAGACAGAGAGGGAAAGACACAGACAGAGGCAGAGAGACACACAGAGAGAGTTTCATAGACTTTTCTGCCCAGGCTGGCTTTGAACCTCAGATCACAGTCCCCAGAGTAGCTAGGATTACAGGCATGACCTACCAGCGCATGGCTGACATAAGACTTCCAAGGGAGGCCTTGAGCAAATGAACAAGGACAGCTGTTAGAGAAGGCTTCACATGAGCCCTCCATGGATCTAAGAGGGTGGCAGCCCCTCCTCTTTCCACAATGGCACCAGGCTTAAATAAGAAATGAGTTATGACAGGGTAAGGACTTTGCTCACAGACCACTTAGCTGGCTGCAGACAGGATTAAGACCCAAGTCCTTGTTTCTCATTCTGTACATCTGACTTCAGATCTGTGCAGTCAAGCAACCTGGGGTAGAAAATATTGGGAAAACACATTGTGGCTTTACTGAACATTTGTCTTGCCATTATTCCCTAAACCATGATAGTTAAGTATAATTATAATTATGTTGTAGAATAGTTGCAATATTCTTTAAATAGTGTTATTTATACTATCACTATTCATCATAAATTATGATTATTTGTCATTCATTGTTGGTGTTAATATAAATAAATTGTGTGTATATATTATTTCTATTAAATGTTATAAGTAACCTAGAGATAACTTTGCTATAGATAAATAGTATGTCATTTTCTATAACGCACTTGGTTATCTATATTTTTGTGGGGGATTTCTTGTGCCTTGCCGGAATTAGAACTCAGAGCCTTGTTGCTTGCTCAGCTTTCTTGTTCACAAGTTGGTGCTCTACCCCTTGAGCCATGCCTTTGGTCCAGGATTTTGCTAGTGGATAGGAGGTAGTCTCTTTCAGACATTTCTGTCCTGGCTGGCTTTGAACTGTGATCTTCAGATCTCAGCCTCTGGTAACTAGGACTCTGGTGCCATCTGTGGATCTTGATACCCAAGGAAGGTTCTGAACAATTGCTTTCATATATCAAGGTTGACTGCTGAACTCACTCTCACCATCGTGGACAAACAAGGCCTTCAGAAGCCCCGGTGAGTCTGGTGAAGGAAGAAGAGATAAACAGGGAAAGCCTGCACTGTGAACGGTAATGCTGAAGACATTCAAAGAGGTAGCCACGAAGCTCAGACCTCGGGGTGACATGAAATGAAGGGAACTGGGCCGGGGACACCAGTTAAGACTGCCAGAGCAAAGGAGGGAATGGAGCAGATACTGGACGGGCCTTCTACGGTGGCAGGGTCCTCCCCAAAGGACTTCCAAGCACGTTATAAAGACAGGAGGGTGGGGGCTTGGCAGGCGAGTAGAAAGCTAAAGACATTTTAGATCAAAGCCGGGAGGTCTGGCACGAATGGATGCTCTGACAGGTCAGCGTTGGGCCAATCACAATGCTGTCAAGGCAGCAGAGCCGGATCGGGCAGTAGTAGCCCGTGCTCCCTTGTCCTGCAGGTGGGTCTGGGCTGAGCAGTGGGTGTTAATGTCATTCTCAGAGGGAGGGAGTCAAGAGAGTCAGCGTGGAGGATGCTGGGTCGCAGGTCCCGTGGGCTATCTCAGTTGAGGTCCAACAGGCCCAGAGGCTGCTAAGAGCCCCATCCTAGGGGAGCAGCCTATGGATGAGTCAAGCCACAGCTGTGGTCCGTGGGTACATACTGCTCCTGGTGCATGTACAACAGACAGGAAAGGGCGAAGGGGTGTTTTGTGTGGTTGCTCTTTCTTTTTTTGGTGGCACTGGGGTTTGAATTCAAGGCCTTAGGCTGCCTAGGCAAGTGCTCTACCCCTTGAGCCGTGCCACCAATTAGTTCTCAGGTAAGGGTCTCATGCTTTTTCTCCAGCCTCAGACCGCGATCCTCCTATCTGCAATTTCCACAAAGCCAGATGACAGGCATGCACCACTCTGTGGAGGCCCCAAAAGGTGAGGTTTTAAGATAAGGGATTCCCAGCAACTCAGAAGAATTCAGGATGTGAGGGGGAAAGAAACTCAGTTTTATTTATTTTCATCTTACATTGGAAAA